CTTCCTACATTTGCTCCATTTGCGATAAATTCTACAGAAAAGCAATGGGAACTCTGGATCTCATAATACCGGACAGGAGGACATGTTTAAGGTTTAGCTTTTTACTTTTTCCTCTTTAATATTACCCACAATTATTTACGTCAGAGCATTTCCTCTTCTGCCGAACGTAACATGACCTCTCCTGAGTTTTCTCAAGCCTTCACTTCCACCGGATCCACGATCACTGAGGTGAGATGAATGGGCCTGATTCCATTCCTTACCATGATACCTCAGCCACCGTGCTTCACAGCCGACTGGGGCTTTAATTTGCAGGCGAACCGGTGGAGCTACGATCAGTTCCATTATCCGTAAAAACTAACAAGTTGGAGTGACGTTATCTCAAAGATGTTCTAGCTTCCCTCTCTTAGCTCCTTGTATTCTCCATGCTCACTACATCCGCTGTTGCAACCATAACCATGATAAGGATACATGCTGTATTCTGTGCATTTACATTTCATTCAAACATGTCATCCTCTAAACACCAGCAGTATCTGAACAACTGATCTAATCACACTGGAAGAAATTGAAATCTAAATAAGTCATTTTTTCTTAAAATAAGTTAAATTTTTCTTGAATTAAGGAGGTAAGTGAGAATCTTTGCCAATGGAATAAGACAATTAGCATTTAAAATAAGAAAAAACTATTGCATTGTCTTATTTCTAGTGTATATTATCTAATTATGTTATTTTAGGAGTAAAAATACTCATTGCATTTAAATCATCTTATTTAGCTACTCAATTTAAGGGTAAATACGCTTAATTTATGAACAGTCAACTTATTTCTAGATCGTTTTTGCAGTGCATCTTTGCATCGTAAAGAACTGCTGCAAACTGTTAAAGTAGGAAATTTAACTGCTGTTCATGTGAGAGACTTCCCTCTTGAATGTGGAAGTCGGTTACCTTCCTGTTGCACCATCTTCCTGTCTCTTAATTCCGACTTTTAAGAACATTTTAGGAGGAAGTGAAAAATTTTAACTGCTTAAGACTAATAGAACGCACCAAACGCAGGAGTACCCAGAGAGAACCCTCTAAAGCACAGGAGAGGAGAGCAATCTATGCAGGAGGACTGTGGGTTGGGATTTAAACCAAGAACCTTCTTGCTGCAAAGCAGGAATATCAAAATCTTTTTTTAAATGAATATTTTTTTAGCTTTCTGATAATAACTGCAGCCATTGAGGCTCTGCTCCCTCCTCAGCATCTCAGAAGTTCTCAAAGATCTGCTTCATTCATTACATTCAGGTTGGATGTATCAGGAAAGTTTGGGAACTTTTAAGCAGAGATGGAAAGAGTACTAAAACATTGTAATTGAGTAAAAGTATGTTTATTTTGCCCAAATTCTACTTAGAGTAAAAGTAAAATTACCCATTTCAAAATTTACTCAAGTAATAGTACAAAATTACTTCATTTAAAATGTAATTTGAGTAAAAGTTACTTAGTTACTTTGAGTTATTTTATGCAAAAAATGATGAGTCATGAATGGAATTGACCACAAGGTGTTTTAATCGATTTCAGGGCGTATTTCTGTGGAAATCCACACTTGCAAAAGATCAGCTGGGCTAAAGAACAAACTTCCTCTGAATATATTTCTCACAGTTTCTCTTCTGAGCAGCATTGCACGCTTTATCCCACAACTTCTTCATCGGTCCTCCGTCCTCCTGCAGAGTTCTCAGTCCAGCTATCTGGTTCCACTTTCTTTCAAAACAAAAAACTCCTGAACAGAACCGGGTTGGTAATATTTAGGACCTTCCCACTCATCAAAGTTTCCCCACAAGACGTCAGAACTTTAACAGAGACTTGAGCTTAGACTTAGACCTGGTTTATATCCTAATCGTTTCGTTTAGCTACTCAGACTGTGGTCATGTGGCAACACCAGCAATCTGAAGCCGACCAAGAATTTTAAGGAGTGAATAAAACGAGTCCCAAGAAAAGAACCCTGAGGAACTCCAATTTTGAATTTTGTTAAATCAAATGTAAAACTTTTTTAATTAGTTAATGTTAAAAGTCTGTTCTGGAGTCTGAATCATTTAGTTTCTTAAAAACTAAGAGTTATTTCTCTCTGATTAAGCTCTCTTTTACCGTTAAATTCAGACAAAATGTGAAATTTAACTGGAAAAGTTTATAATTAGTGTTGCGCAGATGCCATTTTTTGGCCCTGATATAACAGATACCTGGCTGTGCATTATTGGATACCGATACCATCTGTTTGAAATTGATGTGTGTGTATCTATGAAGAACTGCAAACTATTTGGATTTAAAATAATTGCCATCATGGCTTCATGTCAAGCTGCTGCCTACCTTTGTGAAGCAGGAAAAAGACAAATACAAAGTGAATCCAGTAGAACTTTTTATTGCCTACCTGCAATGGGTGACAATAGTTCAATAAACTTTTTGCTTTCAAATATATATATTGATATTATAATATCAACAAAGATCTTAAAGTGGTTTCACCTGCAAGCCCACTGATCTGCAAATAAAAGCAAACAAACACGTTTCCATATTTCTCTTGTTCATTACAATAGTATTAGTTTCATTTAATAAAACTTTATTCATAATCCTGACAGTTACATCAACAGCTGCTGTGCTTTAAGCTGAGAACATGAATGCTAGA